CACGCACCACCAGTGGTCCATGGACCACCAGTTGCCGACCGCGGGTCTAGGGTGTGTTGGAAAATGAAGTTCTAGGAAGGTTTTATACCATAGAAAAACTATGAGACAGGAGCAATATATTAATGTTTTACATATATAACTGTTGCCTGAAATATACGATTGGTATTCTCCATGGGGAAGTCATACATAACACAGCACCATGCCTTAACATGTTCACCGACACAGCAAGATTGAGTAAAATACTCTTGTCGGAAAATTTTTTCGATTCTAGTGTTTTCTTATGATATTTACCCTAAAAATCAGTTCGACACCTAGTTTTCATTTGAAATAACTGATGTTTTATTAATTTGCACATTTAATTTTCAGTTGCATGATTCTAAACTTTTACATTTTTTATCTTTATAAATACTTTACAACTTAAATGATCGTAAAGTAATGCACGAGTTCATTGTCTTGATAGCAAAAATGAGTAAAATTATACAAATAGCAAAACAGCATATATAACCAGAAGAGAAAAACTTAATGAATGTTTTAACATCTTAAAATGCACCACTTGTCTTGTAATCTTTCAATAAATGATACCATCCCCTTTAATTACAATTTCATTTTTATTTTCGCATAGATGATAATTATTTAGAAGTTACTCCAGCAAAATACATTAATAAAATCATAATTTATGGAAAAACGTTTCCAGCAGCTGGAAACCATGAGTATGGAGCAACTTTCTGAGGCCATAGAAATAAATCCTAAATACGTATACTGTGAAATATTGATGACTCACATGGCTTCAAACAATGACACAACCTGCGAGTCACAACCGATGCACACAGCTTTAACAAGTAAGGCATCTGTTAATGATTGGTTATGCGCATGGGAATCACGATGGTAAAAAGTTTCCAATTTTTTAGTTCAAAATCATGTAGTTATTACTTATGCCAGGAAATAGTCTGGACATTAATCTAACTAAAAATAAACATTACACTAAGGTGTGTGTGTGTATTTAATTATGGTAAAGCACGATAGGGCTATCTGCCTGAGGGGAGGGATGCCTTTCGTGGAGGACTTTCTAAGGGAAACTGGCTCGTATACACGTTACACATGGGGAAAACCACGAAAACGCCCATGCAGCCAGCCCGTTCGCCATTACACTAAGGAAAGAAAATTGAAGTGAAATAGAAAAACAAGGTAATGGATTCACAATAGCTTATTCAAATATATTTCCCTGACAAGGTTATTAAAAAATTGATAACTCATTAGTAAATAATGTCTAAACACTGCTAAAAAAGCAAAATGTTACTATTTTAGGCATTAAATGTTTGTTCATATGTTGAAAGTTTTGTATTTAACCTAAATTTATCAATTCTGAAAGCATTCCTTTCAAGTCTAATAATTTGTTCATGTCTGTAAATGACTAATTTTTACAGTATCAGAAAAAAAAAGGAAAACATTACAAAGATTGATATGGCAATGACAACAGCATGATAGCTTTGAAGCATGGATGCATACATTGAAATGCTTAAAATGTTTCATGCTTCATTCCAATTCCTATTTTGAGATTTTACAATTAATTATGCAGAAAAGAAATTCACATTATATGACTACAGTGTGGCAACAAAAATTGCCAATAAAATTAAGAAAAGGCTGATACAAAATAAATTCTGATAATTTTAGCATAAAAAAATTACTGTCTTAGAATATGTACATACCAAGACACTTTAGAAATGCAAAATATAAAGAAATAAAATGCATCAGCAATGAGAGTAATACATTATACAGGACACAGAAAATTTGCTTAAAGGAGAAAACTGCTGCAATGACAAGAATTTGTTTCTGTTTAGTGTGTGACAGTACAGAGAAACAGGTATTACATTTTAAGATGATGAAATTCTACATACCAGACTATCGCTACACATCCTCACTACATACCTTCAGCTGCACAGGACTCCAAGCCTGTGCTGAGGTTCATGCCTAGCTCATTAAAACTTTCCAACAAAAATGAATTTGGAAGAAAAATTTACCTGAAAAATCCACCTTATTTATCAAGATCTCACAATATGTGATTTTTGCATATGAGAAAGAATTAAAGATGTCAGAAACTAAACCACCAGGAATGTGCATTCATGCTGTACATGGAAGAAGTTCTGAAAATGTATGGACAGTGATGGTAAATACATAGAGAAAATATAAAAATATCATTCAATGGCTATTTAATCAAAGAAATAAATGTAGATGGTAAAAGCATACGTTTTACTTCTCATATAATGTTTAAATTTTATTTTTAATGCAAATAAGTTTGTATCAATCATATGTCTAAAATGGACTTCATAACAAGCAAGGTATTTATAATCAAAACTAAACTTCCATAAAGTTAAGTACAACAATCTACCAAATTAAGTAAAAGGCTCTAATGGATGCAGGCGTGACTTATCCATGCATAAATGATATGAATGCATCTGACAGTAAATTACTAAAAATTATAAAACATTGCTATAAAACAAGATATCCATTAAATTAGGAATACGGACTTGCATAAGCATAAATTTTAAGCCAAGTGAAGAAATTAAAAAAGAAAAATATCACTATGTTTAAAACTTGTATATTTGTAACTGCGAGTGACAGAATAAAATAATTTTATAACTGAAGTCTGGCCTGTTTTTGAAATTTGGTAATATTTTACTTACCCAGGATTGCAGCCTTTATGTAATCAAGGTATAGAATTAAGATGTATGAAAATATTGCATGCATTTTGAAAATGTGAAATTTTTTTAAAGAAAAATCCAAGAAACAACTTTTTTTCGTAATTAATCACCATTAGCAATTTTAATATGCAAAATGTATTAATGTGTTAAGTATTCAAATTTAATTAGCATTATTAATAATGATAATTATGTTACACTTAATTATTTTAATTACACAAAGTTTCAATTTATTTAATTTCATGTACTCTAAATTTGCTTAATTTATATTTTCCTCAACAAAATCTTCATGTCTGTGAACAATATAATTAACATTTCCCTGAATAAAAGCTTGATGTATATGAACAATATAAATAAACGTGTTTCAATAAATTAACTTCTAACTGAAAAATTAAAATAAAAAATCCAGGAAATTTCAGTTAAAATAAATCAATAAATAAATCGATAACAATAATAAATAATCGATAACAATAATAAATAATCGATAACAATAAATAGTAAAATAAAAAACTGTTTAAGTGTATTTTAAACCTTAGTATATAGGATATTTCATGTACATACAAATTAAAATATTCAAAAGAAACATCTCCACATATAAACTATTTTCCCCCTGAAATTTTTAATTTTTAAAACAATGGATTGGATTATTCAGTTATGGCAAAGCACACAAGGGCTATCTGCGCCTAAAGGGAGGGATGCCTTTCATGGAGGACATTTTAAGGGAAACTGGCTCATATACATGTTACCCATGGGGTAAACTACGAAAACAGCCATGCAGCCAGCCCGTTCACAGGATTCAAACCTCGGACCGAACTACCAGTGTTCAGTGTCTTTACCGCTCAGCCACTGGTGGGCTTTAAAACAATGAAAACAGATTAAAATAAAATATTTCAAATGGTTATTAACATTGCAGTCAGAGATTCAGAAACAGGCATGCACTGGTATCGAATATAACTGATGTATTTATACAATTATGTTAATTAAAAGACATCAAGAAAGAAAAATATTAACATATAGTTATAAAACTGTAAGTGAATGAATGAATATACAGTGTATTAAAAAAATACCCTTCAAACCTCTCTTCTGATAAAAATCTAAATTTCCAATTTCGTAGTTGTATAGCTATCTTAAAATGTGTCCTCATTTTTATTGCAGTTAAAACACAGATACATCTGTCTTAAAATTTATTATACGTGACACTTTTAATATTTTCATGCACTTTAAATGCACCTTAAGGTTCAGCAACTTCTGTTTCTTGTTCTATATCATCATCTTTAACCATTTCATACATTTTAATTAAATTCGAGAATGATTTAAGTTAGTAACTTCTGATTCTTGTTCAGCATTGTTATCTTGAATTTGTTCTTGGATTTCTACTAAATTTGAGGATGCACTTAATTGTATTTCTAAATTTTCTTCAATATCATGTTTGTTACCTAACCAGAAAGTAAGCAGCCACAAAATAAAAATTAAAGCACCACATAACACAACAGAGATCATAACAATATATAAAAGTACTTGAGGTTTTTTATCAACATACTGACTCACTGTTAGAGGGACCACAGTTTCTCCTAATGATGCTGCAATAACAAATAGAGAAGCAACTTTATTACTTATATTAACATGATTTTCAGCCCAACTTATAGTGCTGGGATAAAATGATGCAAGAGACAGCCCTAGAACAGCAGTTCCAGTCCATAAGAGAATTTCATGTTTATTTCCAAGTGAAATAGGTAGAAGCAGACTTGACGAAATCACCATAAATACAAAATCAACAATTATTAACATGAAAGGCCTAATTTTTACAGCTAACAAAATAGCCAATCCACGACCAAAAGTAAATGTAGCCCAAAATACAGAGGTCATATAAGATGCAGTTTCTTTTGAAAGCTGTAGATGACTTTTTACAGCAAATGTAGAAAGCATTTGTGCATATCCAATTTCAATACCTGCGTATACAGAAAGCAAAAGTATAGTAAAGAAAATAAATGTGATTGATAAAGAACGATCTTGTCTTTTGCCATTATTGATGTTCTTATGGTCTTCCTGTAGTTCTTCAGAAGATGACACAAAAAGTAAAAAGATGAACATCATTGTTACAATGAATGAAATAATACCTAAAATTCCATAAGCATATGTAATAGATGGAATCAAATTATGATCAGTTGAGTTTTCTTTTAAACCATTTGAGTCTGTGGTATTCAACGTTGACACATTTTGCTGCTGAGATAAGAATGGGGCTATAATCAAAGGAGAAATAAAGGCACCGACTCCAAATAGAAAATGCAAAGCTTGCATATATGGACCATTATTATTTTTCCAGAGATTTAGACACCAAACATTTCCTCCTGCAATGACAAGGATAAAATAATGACATATTAGTAATAATAAATTTAGAATAATACAAAACTATTGAATCTCAATTATGAGGCACTATAAATATATACATGAATCAATATATATCTTTAAAAACAATCTTAAGATTACAGGACAGTAAATAAAGAAATGCTCTAGAAAAAATTAACAGCTACTACTACAAAATTTGGCATACATAAGATGAAAATCAAACATTAGCTTTAAAAAATATTATTAAATGTAAGTACCCCTTTACATTTTAGGATAAATTTAAAAAACAAAAATGTAGAGTATTTGATGATAACATGGTTCTGATTAGAATCAAAGAGAAACTAAAATATAGTATGATTCTGAAAGAAAAATTAGGAAACATGCTACATTAGGCATACCAATAACCAGTATAGTGGATGCAGTCCTAAACGAAGTCACTTAATTAGATGAGTCTATCATAATTAGTGGTACATATGCAGTTTTTATAAATGCTAATTACCTGTGCATTTTACTTAGTATTTAAACAATGTAATTATTCTACAGCATGATAAATAAACTCCATCTCATTGTACAATTTTGTCTATTAAAACACCCTATTACAAGAATATACTAAATTTCAAAATCAGAAAACAGCACAAAAGTGAGTCTTACTTTCGAGTAAATATAGCAAAATCTTGTGTACTGTACCTTGTATAGAAGACGTTAAACTCAACTGACTATCAGTTAATTACGGAAAATTAAGAGGAAAGTCAATTTGCATATCCTTTTCATCTATTAGCAGCGAACTTTAAATGCAGACTAGCAAAATAACACAAATTTTCAGAAAAATTTAATTCAAGATCAAGTTCCTGTGATGCTAAGAAAATGATGGAAACTTTTTTGAGAGGCTAAAAATTTCAACTTCGATCTAACAATCATCATAGTTTTAACAACTAATAAGCTAATCTTATGAAAAAATGCACCCAGTTTTCGTCAACTGTGCTAGTCACATGATATACATCTAATAGTTACTGATCTGTTATATGTATAAATAAAAATACTGAAACCTATAAATAGGATCAAAGTGAGAAATCAGGTAATGATGTAAAGCAATGATCTATAGCAAAGGTTATTTTCCCTTGTTTTGATTTAACACTAGAATTACGGTGGTCTTCGTATACCTAGAATTACGGCGGTTCTGATTATCTCAATCATAACGCAAATTAGAACTACTAAAGGTATAGTCAAATATGATTCATCGGAAAATGTAAAATAGCTTACATTTTAAAATGGAAACAAAAAAAAAAAGTGCTAACATGGTGGGTTATTGACGAATTTATTTTCTCAGTTAGAATTTCCATTTTCTAATCTTTTAAAATAATCTATTTTAGTATTGTTTTTCTCATAGAGTCACTACTATACCAGGGCTTAAGTATATAAGCAAAATATCAAATAGGATCACTGAATCCTGTATCTCGCATTTTTCAATATTTTAAATTTTGGTCAATTTATGATATGTAATGATTCTTTTTAATATTCAAAGGTATTATTTTCAAAAATCTTAATTGGTCAATATTTTATAACATAATTTTGCAGTTGAAATAAGTGGGTTAAATTTGTCCCACTACACACTTGAATATCCTCAATAGATGGCAGCACCACGATTATTTTTTTTTTTTTTTGCATCTACTTTTTTTCTGATTGCACGTGCTTTTACATCCATTTATGCTCTGATCTAAAATGTCTAGAAAAATTAACAACTCAGGAAGCTTTTGGATCTTTTTGCTGAATTGCCATCCTATTGCGACTCAAATGCTTCAATGTCAGTTCATTCAAAAATTGAACCCCCCCCCCCCCCCCCCCCCCCCCCCCCCCCCACCCCCCCCCCCCCCCCCCCCCCCCCCCCCCCCCCCCCCCCCCCCCCCCCCCCCCCCCCCCCCCCCCCCCCCCCCCCCCCCCCCCCCCCCCCCCCCCCCCCCCCCCCCCCCCCCCCCCCCCCCCCCCCCCCCCCCCCCCCCCCCCCCCCCCCCCCCCCCCCCCCCCCCCCCCCCCCCCCCCCCCCCCCCCCCCCCCCCCCCCCCCCCCCCCCCCCCCCCCCCCCCCCCCCCCCCCCCCCCCCCCCCCCCCCCCCCCCCCCCCCCCCCCACCCCCCCCCCCCCCCCCCCCCCCCCCCCCCCCCCCCCCCCCCCCCCCCCCCCCCCCCCCCCCCCCCCCCCCCCCCCCCCCCCCCCCCCCCCCCCCCCCCCCCCCCCCCCCCCCCCCCCCCCCCCCCCCCCCCCCCACCCCCCCCCCCCCCCCCCCCCCCCCCCCCCACCCCCCCCCCCCCCCCCCCCCCCCCCCACCCCCCCCCCCCCCCCCCCCCCCCCCCCCCCCCCCCCCCCCCCCCCCCCCCCCCCCCACCCCCCCCCCCCCCCCCCACCCCCCCCCCCCCCCCCCCCCCCCCCCCCCCCCCCCCGCCCCCCCCCCCCCCCCACCCCCCCCCCCCCCCCCCCCCGCCCCCCCCCCCCCCCCCCCCCCCCCCCCCCGCCCCCCCCCCACCCCCCCCCCCCCCCCCCCCCCCCCCCCCCCCCCCCCCCCCCCCCCCCCCCCCCCCCCCCCCCCCCCCCCCCCCCCCCCCCCCCCCCCCCCCCCCCCCCCCCCCCCCCCCCCCCCCCCCCCCCCCCCCCCCCCCCCCCCCCCCCCCCCCCCCGCCCCCCCCCCCCCCCCCCCCATACCCCCCCCCACCCCCCCCCCCCCTCCCCCCCCCCCCCCCCCCCCCCCCCCCCCCCCCCCCCCCCCCCCCCCCCCCCCCCCCCCCCCCCCCCCCCCCCCCCACTGCCCCCCCCCCCCCCCCCCCCCCCCCACCCCCCCCCCCCCCCCCCCCCCCCCCCCCCCCCCCCCTGCCCCCCCCCCCCCCCCCCCCCCCCCCCCCCCCCCCCCCCCCCCCCCCCCCCCCCCCCCGCCCCCCCCCCCCCCCCCCCCCCCCCCACCCCCCCCCCCCCCCCCCCCCCCCCCCCCCCCCCCCCCCCCCCCCCCCCCCCCCCCCCCCCCCACCCCCCCCCCCCCCCCCCCCCCGCCCCCCCCCCCCCCCCCCCCCCCCCCCCCCCCCCCCCCCCCCCCCCCCCCCCCCCCCCCCCCACCCCCCCCCCCCCCCCCCCCCCCCCCCCCCCCCCCCCCCCCCCCCCCCCGCCCCCCCCCCCCCCCCCCCCCCCCCCCCCCCCCGTGGGTGCATTTTCCCCCCCCCCCCCCCCTCCCCCCCCCCCCCCCCCCCCCCCCCCCCCCCCCCCCCCCCCCCCCCCCCCCCCCCCCCCCCCCCCCCCCCCCCCCCCCCCCACCCCCCCCCCCCCCCCCCCCCCCCCGATTCAGTTATACCCCCCCCCCCCCCCCCCCCCACCCCCCCCCCCCCCCCCAACCCCACCCCTGCTGAATAAGAGGGAAGTTATTGTTTCGCTTTTTAAGAACGACCCATCTATGCATGTGACACTGTAAATATGAATCAGAAGTATCTACTCACAAATTTATGTCAAGAGAATATATAGACTTTTCAGTTAGCGATGATTCAATTTATTGCATAAAATGGAAGGATAAAAGATCAGTTTCTATCCTGTCTTGCTTGGAAAAGGCAACTGAAATGAAAGAAATTAATAGAAAAGAACGAGATGGAAAGACAAAAAAAGTACTGTGCCCAAACAGCGTTATTTCATACAATAAGAACATGGAATGTGTCGACTGATTGATCAACTGAAAGGACTGTATGAAATACACCGCAAAAGCAAGAAATGGTGGCACATGATTTTTTTAAAACTTTTTAAACGCATTTATTCTATTTAAGTTTGTTCGCGAACCCGATCATGATGTAAACACAATTAACTCTTTCGCATCGAAGTCGCCCATAACGCCCGTTCATTCAGGCAACGGCAAACCGCCCCAACGCCTCGTTTATTTTCTACCTAATTCTTTCTCCTCCAAGTTAGTGTATGGCTCATTGGTTTCGCGAGTTGTTAAAAGACATGTCAATCATTCTTTTGAAGCAAATAAAGGAGAAATACGGAAAGCTATTGACGTTTGCAGGTGCAATCCGGCCCTAAGGTGAAAACTGCACACAAGGATGAAACCACAGGGGAAAAAAAATTATTCCAAGACAAATTCGTAAACACGGGCACTTTCGATGTTTGTTGAAAACAGATTTGGTCGTCTCTCGATGCGAAAGAGTTAAAGATTTTCTTCTCTCAGTTATAGAAGATCTAATGGCACTTGCAGGCAAGAAAGAGCTGAAAAGAAAACTGAAATCCCCAGTTCAAATAAAAACTAAAAACCCATTCGTACAACCAGAAAAGAGACTAAAAAATGTAAGTCACACACCAAAGAGAACGAGCAGGAGAAGATGTGCATATTGCAGCACATTGAAAGAAGAACGACGAACATTTTGGATGTGTGAAGCATGTTAAGTGCCTGTATGCTTACAAAAAAATGAAACAACATGTTTTTCAAAGTTTCATGAAAAATGACTTTTTTTTTTTTTCAATTTTATTCATATATAAATGGTTTTGAATCAAGTGTCAATTTTAATATTTTATTTAGTATCATATGTACGTGTATCAAATTTTAATCTTAAAATAATATTCAAGAAAATAATTTCTTTTGTTCCTAAAATTTAAAATATTAAATACATATATATATATGCAAAATTTTACAAGTCATGCATATACACAATAAGTACAAATGCATTTTAGTGTGTTTATTATGAATATTTAGAATGCACGCTTTATTTTGTTTACTCATTCCACATAATTTTTTTCCCTGCTGTACCCAATATGCTATAAGACATGTGCTAGTTGCATGGTGGGACAAATGGTATCCCACCTTCCCCCGTAAAAAATAAAGCGCAGAATTTTTTTTCAAGCCTTAAATGCACTTAAGTAAGTCCATCTGACTTATTCTAAGGCATTTTTTTAAAGATTAAAATATATTTTAAATATGCGTGTCACAAAGGGTTAAAACAAACTTTTTGCTATAAAGAGTACATAGAAATAGAAATATATAG